CACGGCCGCTCCGCTCCGGGGGCGCCGGAGGCCTCGGGGGACCAGGCCCTTCTGTTTTGGGGTCCCACGCACGCACGCCCCACAGGCCGTGGGCAACCCCCCCCCCCGCTGAGCCCCTGCGGTGGCCCCGGCGCTGGGCGGGTCTCCGGTCGTGGGAGCCCAGTACTCTGGTGAGCTGCGCCCCCCGTGGTGGGGACTTAGGCCCTGCCAGCCTGGGGCAAAGGAAGTTGAGGGGGCGCACCGGCGGGGTCTCACCCCCAAGACCTTTACTTCCTAGCCTGGGCCCTTCTGGACCTTTCTGAAGGACAGTGGGCACCCTCTGGGGCCCCTGACCTCCACCCTGGCTGCCTGTGCCAACCTTACTGTCCCCGAAGTTCTTGACGATACACCCGAGGCGCACCCCGCTTTGGTGGTGGCAAGCGGAGCCCACGGGGTCGCTTGTGGCAGGAATGACGCCAGGTGCGAAGTGGGCACCTATAAATACGCATTAGTGTGCCGCGGACACGCCCGGCCGCCGACTGCCTGCCCGCACACGCCGCAGCCGCGGTAGGACCTGTTCTGGGGGAAGCTCCCTGCAGGCATTCCGCTTGGGTTTCTGCCGACCCGGCAGCTTCTCATTTGGATGCGGGGTTGGTAGACACTTTCAGCTGTCGCCCTGCCTTTAGGGGGCCGGTCCCCCGCCCCACTCCCTCAGCAAGTGGAGGCGAGGCCCTTTGCCACCTCTTGGGCCAAAAGCACCAGGAGCCAGGGTCCCCCCTTCATGCCACCTTCCTTGGCAGGTGGGGCAGGAGCCATCCCTGCACAGCGATGACGGAGTACAAGCTGGTGGTGGTGGGCGCAGGCGGTGTGGGGAAAAGCGCACTGACTATCCAACTCATCCAAAACCACTTTGTCGACGAGTACGACCCCACCATCGAGGTGAGCGGGCACCTGCCTGCCTGGGAGGGCTGCCCGCCTGGGCTCTGAGTGCCCACAGGTGGGCCCAGTCTGGGCCCTGGGGACCTGGGTGGGGCGGAGCATGGACAGTGGCTGGCCGGCCGGACCCCTGAGCTGTGATGCCCCGCAGGACTCGTACCGGAAGCAGGTGGTCATAGATGGGGAAACGTGCCTGCTGGACATTCTGGACACGGCAGGCCAGGAGGAGTACAGTGCCATGCGGGACCAGTACATGCGCACAGGGGAGGGCTTCCTGTGTGTGTTTGCCATCAACAACACCAAGTCCTTTGAGGACGTTCACCAGTACAGGTGAGGGCAGCTTCCCACCTGGCCTTGTGCCCTGGGGCACCCTGATCCAGCTCTACCTGTGACCTTCTGGGGCCATGCACCTGGAACCAGCCCTGTCTGCCAGCCATTGGAGCTGTCAGCCCTGACCCGGCGCTGTGCAGCCCTCACGCTCCTTTCCCTGCCCTCGTCCCTACAGGGAGCAGATCAAGCGGGTGAAGGACTCAGATGACGTGCCCATGGTGCTGGTGGGCAACAAGTGTGACCTGCCCGCCCGCACAGTGGAGTCACGGCAGGCCCAGGACCTGGCCCGCAGCTACAGCCTGCCCTACATTGAGACCTCAGCCAAGACCCGCCAGGTGAGCCTCTCCTCCACCCAGAGCTAGTGCAGGGACGCACCCGGGGCCATGCTCATTGCCACCTTTCCCTCCACGCAGGGCACCCGCTCTGGCTCTGGCTCCGGCTCCGGGACCCCTCGGGACCCCCCGGGACCCGTGTGACCCGGCGGCCCCTTGCTCTGTAAGTCCCCCAGGCGGCAGGGCAGGGGGTGGCGAGGGCCGCGTTGGGGCTCCCGCCCTGCAGCCTGGCTGACATAGCCTTTGGGGAGGCAGGGATCCCGGGAGAGAGCTGCCCTGAGCCAGGCCGGAGCGGTGGCCCTGGGGGCCCGACCCCTGCCCCACAGGGTGCCCTGAGGGCCCCTGGCAGTCTGAGCCCATAGTGGGCAGCCCCAGGCATGGTTGTAGCTCAGACAGGAGCTGGGTGTGGGGAGGCCTGGGTGCCCCAACATGTGTGTGTGGGGGTGGTGGTGAAGGGGCATCTGAGGAGGAAGTGCAGAGGGGGGTAGCAGGGCCTCAACTCTTGGAGGTGTGAGTTGGGGGGCTTGGGGGTCTGAGGAGCCGGGGTCTTTTTGGGGAGCCGAGTCCCTGCAGCCCTGAAGCATCTTGCTGAGACACCGTGTGGCCCTGGGTCCCCTGCTAAGTCCCTCCTGCAGCCCCTCACTGAGTGCCCCCCAGCCCCACTGCAGCTCAATGCCCTCATGCACCTCCCCCTAGCTCCTTACTGAGTGACCTTCCCAGCCTCCCTGCAGGCTCTGAGTGTCCCCCGCCTCCTGCACAGTGGCTGAGCGGCTCCCCCAGACGCCCTGCAGCCCCTCACTGAGTGCCCCCCAGCCCCCCTGC